TATTCAGACCGCTACGAGCTGTCATTTTTGTTGCCATGGGACTATCAGCTGTTTTTCCCGCCGCACATTTGCTATTTGTGGACGGTCTTGAGTTCCTCTATAAGAAAGTGTGTCTACATACTTTTGTCAGAGCCATGTTTTATTGCTTTTATTAGTGGCTCCTATTTTAGGCGTCCCTGGTGTGGATGCTGCTTATGGGTGGTATGTATATAGGTGGTGCCGCGATTTACGCCACCAGGATTCCGGAACGATTTTTTCCTGGAAGATGTGATTTATGGGTGAGCAAGATGAATGATCTATGCGTCTCATGCTATTTGAAAGATGTTATGAGCAGCCGGCCCAGTTGGCATTTATCTAATCAAACTATGGTTCAGTTTCAATCTCACCAACTCTTTCATACATTTGTCGTTATCGCGGCATTCATTCATTTCCATTCTATCACCGAAATGGCTCAAAAGAAGCTGATGGAGGGTTCATGCGCCGAGCAACTGTTAGAAAGGTGAGTTCTGTTTTCCAGTCACTACTTGTTTAGCTTTATTTCTGTACCTCTGTTGCAGATATGGAATAGAGTCTAATCCATCCCTGCTTGGTGGGCTTTTAGGCCTAGACGAAGATCACAACAAAATTTCATGGAGCGGTTTTCGTTAGCGATCTTACTGTAGTTTCGGTCCTTTCATAATGTTGTAGAGAAATTTCCTGTGCGTATTTTGTTGTATTTGCTGCTCCTTGTATCGAATACCCCTTCTGCTCATCTACAAAACATGAGCTAGAGGGGATTGCGATTGTACAAAAGCGAAAACAAAAATCCTCCACTTTTCGAATTTCTTGCACCTGCTGTTCTTGTTTCGCAATTTTCACCTTTTGTAGAGTACCGTTCAGGTTGTTTCAGCGGAGCTGGTTCAACTGAGAGAAGTTGGTTCTTTACAATTAGTGGGGCAACGTTCGTGCTCTTATAAGCTATAATGGATGTCACATTAAAGGCACAGTTCACGATAAAAATGATGCTCTGATGTGATGAGTTCTCCTCCTAGGAATACCTAAAGGGCGTACAAGTGAGGAATGAAGCGTCGGGTCCCGAACCTCAACAGTCGGGGCATAGTGGTGGCCTCGCCACCGGATGGCCCGGATGCACCGCCTCTCGACCGATGATGTGTCAGACGAGTGTTGAGGCGATACAGACTGCAATACTCGCGCCAGGACCCACACATGCAGCACGCAATGAGCTGATCGCCTGCTCATCAGGCCTCTGTTGTTCTTTTTGCTGCGATCCTTATTCTAATTTTCTATCTCAGGAGACTTACAAGGTGGGATATTTCTGCTGTTTCTAGTGTTTTTGTTGACTTATGCTCTCTCGTGCAGCCCCCTTTTTAACGCTTTTTTCGAAGCCTTTTTCTTCTTGGGATCACTGATTCAGCGTTTTCTTCGCTTTCATCGCACTTTTTTTTCATCTTATCTTCCATTTTTCATTATAATCTGAATTACCTAAAATTATCGTGAACTGTGCATTTAAGCTGCTGAATGTATTAGGTTGATGCATAATTATTGCGGATTTTCGGTGCTAAGTGGGTTGGGGGGACCACGCGGCGCGGCAGGCGGCGCGGCACCCTGCGCTCTCCAGCGAGATAGTAGAGAAGGAAGCCCGAAACGGTGTTTTAGGGACTTTCATAGTTTTTTATGTTGGGGCTGTGTATTTTTCACCTAATTTTAGGAAGGGGG